GGCCCCTAGCCTCAAGGGACTGGAAGCTACCAACAACTCCTATGCGGGGAAGAGGCACCCTCCCTGGGGTGGGGTGGGGTGTGTGGCCCTGCTGAGGCGGCGGCTGAGAGGCCCTTACCCTTGTTGAGCGGGTGGTGCTCCTGCAGGCTGTGCGTGTCGAGGAAGACGCCGCTGTCGCTGTGCAGCTTTTCGCCCTCGGGGGAGGCCCCCAGCTCCCCAGCCCTGGCTTTCGCCAGCTGCTGCTTCTGCTTGCAGGTGTTCCAGCTGCAGCGGGGGAAGGGGGAAAGCGGCTGGGCTCAGTAACGTACTAGCAGTGGGAGGGGGGATCCTTGTATGCACACGTGCCCCCTTCACACCCCCCGAGTTTAGCAGCATCTCAGCTGAGCGCCCGCACGTGAAGGACCCCGTTGAAACACCTGGCTCCCCCCCCCGCCCCCGAGCGCAGGGTTTTATCCGGCCCAGCCCTGTGCCCGCAGCCTCGGCAGGGAAGGGCTTTCGGGCTCAGCCGCGCTCTTTCTCGGGGGGCTCCATGTACACCTCTACGCCGCTATAACGCAACCCGATAGAACACGAATTCGGATCTAACGCGGTAAAGCAGCGCTCCAGGGGGGGCGGGGCTGCGCACTCCGGCGGATCAAAGCACGTTCGATATAACACGTTTCATCTATAACACGGTAAGATTTCTTGGCTCCCGAGGACCGCGTTATAGCGAGGTAGAGGTGTACCAGGATAATTCCTCCCCTCCCCTCCCCCCCCGCCCCCGGTTCCCTGCAGACCCCTGGCACAGATGGCTCAGCCGGGGCTGGCTGCGGGAGAAACGTCAGGCTGACCGGGGAGGGGGAGGTGGGGGGTCCTCCTGCCATCTCTGTCTCTCTGCCCCTAGCCAGCCTCCACAGCTTTCACCCTCCCTCTCCGGCTTCCCTCCGCCTCCCTCGCTCCATCCCTTTCTCCAGTGCCGCCCTCATCCTCCCCGCCTATGCACGGAGGAGCCCGGTTTGCAAACAGCTTCATGCACCTTGCACCCCTCCCTCCCGTCCCCAGCCAGAGAGCTGGGGCAAATGCCCGTGGCTAGTGCTAGTCCTGTAGCGCCGGTCTGTGCACGGGAGCATATGTCTAGTGCAACAGGGAGAGCACTGGTGAAAGGTCTCATAGGGTACGAGGAGGCCGCACCGGGTCTGGTCCTGGGACTTGGAACACCTGGGTTCTATCCCCTCCCCCACCCTGTGTGTGTTTAGGCCCTACACTATCGCGGGCGAGGCTGTCTCTGACCATGTGTGTACCGCCCTCCCGGTAGCGCCTAGGGCTGGCGGACGGGCTCTGGGCCCCACTGCGCCAGGTGCTGTACACGCAGGACAAAAAGACGCTCCCCGCCCCATAGAGCTCAGAATCGAACCAGGGTCCTACGCTCGGCTGGAACCGGATGCTGCTGTGCTACAGACAGCCATAGGCAGCCAGGGTCCGATCCTGGGAGGTGCTGCCCGCCCCTGCCCTCCCGGATGGCATTAGCAGGAGGTCAGACATTCAGCAGCTCCCAGGACTGGCCCCCAGCGAGGGACCAGGCACCCGCTAAACAGAGAGGCGAACAGGGGGTGCAAGGCAGCAGGCAGCAAGGGGGAGGGAATATATCTAGGCAGCGGCAGAGAGGGGCGAGTGGCGGAGAGGTGACTGAGTGACTGTGAGGAGCGTACAGGCCTGATCTGTACATGTCCTTAGCCTGCCAGCTGTTTGGGGCAGGGACCGTGTGTTGGGTCTGTGTTTGTACAGCACCTGGCACTATGGGGTCCTGGCCCAGGTCTGGGGGGCCTACATCTATACTGCTCCGGCTGAGTCCGGCATCGGAACGTGGCCCTTGGTGCTCAAGTGACTTGCCCAAGGTCACCCAGAGCTTGAAGCAGAGCTGGGAATCGGACTCGGATCTGCTGCGTCCCAGCCTGGTGCTTTAGCCGACAAATGCCGGCAGAGCCACAGTCCTCTGGGCTGCCCAGCGAATACAAGCGGTGCAAATCCCCACCGGCCCCAGTGCTCACAGCAGGCTCTGCGGGTCTGTACTCAGGGGTGATCCTCACCTCTGGGGGGGAAGGGATCGGTCGAGTGAATACTCTCTGACTCATCACGCAGAGGGAGGCTTGGGGAAAGGAAGCCGGGGTGAGCGAGGAGACAGAGGGGTCTATGAACTATATAGCAGGAGAAGGGACGGGGGGTCTACGATCTATATGGCAGGAGGAGGGATGGGGGTCTATGATCTATAAGGGAGGAGGAGGAATGGGGGGGGGTCTATGATCTATAAGGGAGGAGGAGGGACGGGGTCCATGATCTATAAGGGAGGAGGAGGGACGGGAGGTCTATGATCTATATGGGAGGAGGAGGGATGGGGGTCTATGATCTATATGGCAGGAGGAGGGATGGGGGTCTATGATCAATAAGGGAGGAGGAGGGATGGGGTCTATGATCTATAAGGGAGGAGGAGGGACGGGGTCTATGATCTATAAGGGAGGAGGAGGGATGGGGTCTATGATCTATAAGGGAGAAGGAGGGACAGGAGGTCTATGATCTATAAGGGAGGAGGAGGGACGGGGTCTATGATCTATAAAGGAGAAGGAGGGATGGGGTCTATGATCTATATGGCAGGAGGAGGGATGGGTGGGTCTATGATCTATATGGGAGGAGGAGGGACGGGAGATCTATGATCTATAAGGGAGGAGGAGGGACGGGGTCTATGATCTATATGGCAGGAGGAGGGACCCACTCGGCTCTGGAGTCTCTCAATGTGAGTGGAATATAAAGAATGTAAACAAGCGGGAAGGGGAGCAGGGCGGCTCGAACACCAGGGAGGGAAATAAGTCCCCAAACACAGGCACAAAGCAAGCCGGGCGGGGGTTGGCTTTGCACTTCCCAACAGAACAGCCAGCAGTTTGAAATCCTTTCAGCAGGGGTCCCATTAATCTACCGTCCACTCCTCCGGTCTCCCCAGCAGAGGCCGGATACAGAGGCAGAGAAGGATCTAATCCCGCGCCCCAAACGAGGTTTAATCCTATTCAGCCGCTGGGCCCCAGCAGTGCGCCCGACACAGTGGGGGACACGGCCCCTTCCGTGGGCCGGCCCTGCCCCGAAGGGAATAACGACGCTCCGCCTGTCTGGTGCCCCGGCTGAACACCTGTGCGCCCGGCAGGCGGGCCACGGGGACCGGAGGGCAAATCCCTCCTTCCGGAACGGGCTGTGACTGAGTCATCGCTGGCTGTGCTGCACCCACAATGGACTTGGCCCAGCAGCCTCAATGCAGCTGCACCCAGGATCCACTTGCCCACTGAGTCCAGCCAAACCCTAATACTTCGTGCCTTCCATCTTCATAGCGCCTTACAAACACCCCCTAGTTTATCACTGCGCCCCGCCAGCCCCTGCATGGTAGGAGGTACCTCCAGATCCCAGCCAGGGAAAGCAAGGCAGAGAAGGGCTAAGGGACACACCCAAGGTCACAGAGGCAGTCAGTGTCAGAGCCTGGATTAGACACCCAGGAGTTTCCAGCTCCCAGTCCTGTGCTGAGCCCCTAGACATTAATCTTTCTTCGTCTTCCTGCCATAGGACAAGCCCTGCCCTTGGCTGGATGTCCCTCCTATTGCTTTCATACAGTATGTTTTTTCAAAGCCCAGGGAGCTCACGTGTGAAGGGGAAGCATGGTCAAGCGGTTAGCTCACAGGTCTGGGAGTCAGGACTCCTGAGTTCTCCTCCTGGCTGTGCCACTGACTTGCTGCGTGACCTGGGACTAATCACGTCACCTCTCCGTGCCTCGGTTTCCCCATCTGTGACATGGGGATAATGATACTTCTCTGCCTCCTAGGGGTGAGTGGGAGGCATACTGCATCGGTGAGAGGAGCACTCGGATGCAAAGCGCAGGAGGAGATGAACGGCCATACCACGAGGGATGGGCAAAGCGGGACAGATCCCGGTGCTCACAGAAACGGGCCTAAGCCAAATCTGAACTTCCCCAGAGTGTCAGGGGGTTCGGTATTCTGGTTCCGGCCCGTTACAGCACTAGGGTCAGATGGGAACGTCCCCAGAGCTCAGGGTTTGGAGCTGGTGTCCTCGTTTGGGCCCAGGTCCGGCAGGACCCAAAGGACTTTGCCAGGCACCAACAGGGTAAGACATGTGGAAGGTCCCCCCAGGAGGGGGAACAGCCGGCCAGGAGTGGGGGTCAGTTAGCTCAGGAAGGCAGCCCAGTCAGTGTGGCTGTGGAGAGCACTTGGTTTGCTGGCTGGTGCCCCACATGGGAGCCGACCTATGCTGAGGGGCACCATTCCTGGTGTCCCCCCCTGCGGTGATTCTCCCGGCACCCCCTCCCCCGAGCTGGAGCAGCCCCATGAGCGAGGCCACATGTACCATTTGAAAGCCACGTAGGCCAGGAGCCCCACCACCACCGCGGCCAGGATAGAGCAGTAGACGGGGATGATGTTCTTGCTGTTGTCTGGCAGCGGCGGGAGGAACTCGGAGGAGTTATTGGGGGAGGCGCTGCCCTCTGACTCAGACAGCGGAGGCTTCTTGGGGTGCTCCTTGCGGGGGTCCCCATCCGTGCGCTTCAGGATCTGCAGCTCTCTGTCTGCAAGCAAACACAGCCAACAACACGAGATGCTTAAAAGAGAGAGAGAGAGCCCCGGGCTTACCCCTTGCTCCCCAGGCACCTCCATTTTGGGGGCCTCGTGGGAGACACTTTCCCAAATCAGCAGCCGGGGCCGTTCCCCGCGGTGCCTCAGTTTTCTCCCCTCTGGTGGAACGTTTTCCATCAAAACTTTTTTTCAGCAGAAAATGGCTTTTTCTTTTTAGCACAACAGAAATAAATTTTTCAGGCAAAAGTTCCGTTTTCATTAAAGATCTTCCAGTTTGCCTTAAAACCGCCTCAACGTTGATTTTTTTTCTTCAGTTTTCAGCAACCAAAAGCCGACTTTTGAGGTGTTTAAACTGAAAACAGTTTAATTCTGGGGCCGTCAGAAACCAATACATGGGGGGGAGGGGGAGGCGGTTTGACAAAAACTCAAAAATGTTCAACAGCAATTTTTGACAAAAAATGGTTTTTTGTCAAAACTTTTTGCTGGGGGAGGGGAGGGAAAGGCCGACTAAAGGAGCGCTGAGAGAATATCTGCCTCCCAAGTGGGTTTTGTGGGTTACTAGATGTTTGTAAAGAACTAGCCCGTCATACGGTAAGCGGATGGCTAAAGATAGTCTTGTGGTGAGCTGTATGGAAGTGGTGGATTACAACAAGGAGGGGGGAGGGATAGTTCAGTGGTTTGAGCAGTGGCCTGCTAAACCCAGGGTTGTGAGTTCAATCCTTGAGGGGGCCATTTAGGGATCTGGGATGAAAATCTGTCTGGGGATTGGTCCTGCTTTGAGCAGGGAGTTGGACTAGATGACCTCCTGAGGTCCCTTCCAACCCTGATATTCTGTGAAAAGTGACTTGTCCAGAGCAGCATTTTTCACACTTTGGGTCGCGACCCAGTACTGGGAATGGAAGACACTGGGTCGCGGCGGGTCGCGGCAGCACCGCCGACTGGGCCGTTAAAAGTCCCATTGGCACTGCTGCCCGGCTAAGGCAGGCTAGTCCCTACCTGTTCTGACGCCCCGGAAGTGGCCAGCAGCAGGTCCAGCTTCCAGGCGGGGGTCACGGGGCTCCGTGCGCTGTCCCGCCCTGAGCACCGGCTCCGCATTGGGGGCGGGGGCAGTGCCGGCAGGTGAGAGCTGTGCGGAGCTGCTTGCACGCCTCCACCTAGGAGCCGGACCTGCTGCTGGCAGCTTCCCGGGCGCAGCGCAGTCTGCGGTGCCAGGACAGGCGGGAAGCCTGCCTTAGCACCCCCGCAGCGCCGCTGACCAGGAATAGCCCGAGGTAAGTCCGCGCCCCAATCCCCTGCCCCATCCCTGAGCCCCCCAAACCCAGAGCCCCTTCCTGCACCCCAAACCCCTCATCCCCGGCCCTACCCTAGAGCTTGCATCCCCAGCCCAGAGCCATGACCCCTTTCCGCAACCCAACCCCCTGCTCCAGCCGAGCCCCCTCCTACACCCTGAACCCCTCATTCCCAGCCCCACCCCGCAGCCATCACCCCCGCACTCCAACCGTCTGCCCCAGCCCTGAGCCCCTCCCACACCCAAACCCCTCATTCCCAGCTCCGTTGGGTCACGGGCATCAACAATTTTCTTCAACTGGGTCCCCAGAAAAAAAGTTTGAAAACCACTGGTCTAGAGTGATTTTCATTCCAAAGGGTGCAAAGTGCTGTTTGGATGAAAGGTCCGACTCTCTTCTCACTTATACTGGCGTAAATCAGGAGTAACTGCTAACTCAGTCAGAGTTATGCTCACGTAAAACTGGTGTGAAAGGACAACTGGGCCCTCTACAGTACAGGAATCACTTTGCCCTCCTGTGACATGCAGATGGCCCTGGGGTAGAGCAGCTCACAGCCCCGCACTACACAGCAGTTTAGGACGGGGTGAAGAAGACTCCATTGACGCTGCAGGGAGACTTTATGCAGGATGTAATGCCCCAAGGTGGGCCTTGGCCTGGGGGGGCATGCCCTGGTCTAAGAAGAGCTCCGTGTCACTCGAAAGCTGGTCTCTTTCACCAACGGGAGTTGGGCCAATAAAAGAGATGACCTCTCCCACCTCGTCTCGCTAATATCCTGGGGCCGACATGGCTACCCCAACACCGCCAACGTGAGGATGGGGGGGGCAATCGAAACAGACAAGGCAGAGTCATCCTCCCCATTTTGCGGCTGGGAAACCGAGGCAGGGAGCGGTTATGTGATTTGCCCAAGGCCATACAGGGAGTGATGGGCAGCGCTGGCAACTGAATACAGCTCTCCTGTGTCCCTCGTCTAGTGCCTGAACCACAAGATCTGCCTCCTTCTTGCTAAAAGTTCCCCCCACCGGCTAGGTAGCTGGCCCAGCACAGCGTTGGGGAGGGGGCAACCCTTCTTCTAGAGAAGCCTGAAGGTCTGATCCTTCCCGGGATGGCAGCCGTCCATCTGCCCCCTGCTGAACGTGTGACGGCTCCAGCAAGCCGGTGCCCTGATCTCATTCTCCGGACACGGCAGGAGCCGAAGGCCCAGGCAGCCGATAATGAAAGAGACCAAAGTGGGGCTGCCTTCTCTCTGCGAGGCCCTCAGCTCTGGGGCTTGAAAACCAACCCTGCCGCTCCCCTTCTCCATCCTCCCCGTCTGGCCCAGCTAGACCCACGCCCCCTCCCCCCGCCCCCTTGCACGGCTACATCAAAGTCTCCGAAATAGGCTGCGGCTGGGGATTGCTCCAGTGCCTGCGAGGAGCATCTGGTCTGTCTGCTGGAAAGTGATGACAAGTTACGGGCGGGGGAGGGACGGGGGGAGAGGCCTCGTCTATGGAGGAACAGCTGGAGAGGGAACAGCTGGCAGGGTCCCTCCTGCCTTTGAAGCTGCAAAGTGGGGTGCGTGAACTCGTCCTGCAGCCGCAGCTCCCCTCCTGCTTCACCCCCGAATGGAGCCGGCCGCCCCCGAAGGGCAGGGAGCGTGGCCAGCGGGAGGCTGGCTGAACTCGTGAGCTGGCAGTGAGCTAGCCTTTTCCAGCAGGCCCCTTCCCCGGCTGCAGGGCCTGAGCTCAGCTGGTGCAAGGCAGGCTCCAGAGAATTTCAATCAGATTAGCTCTGCGTCCGGTTTCGTGGGTGATTCAGGGGAGCCCTCTGCAGAGCCGTCTTGCCCAGACGGTCTAATCCTTGCAGGTCCTCTGGAACTCTAGGGAGGTTTAAGCTCCAACGGAGGATGTGAAGTCACCAGCTTTTCTTGGTACCCTGGACCTGGACCCCTCGCTGCTTGGGGGAAGTTCTCCTCCAAACAGGAGTGGGTGGGTGAGGTTCTGTGACCTGCGATGTGCAGGAGGTCAGACTAGATGATCCCTTCTGACCTTAAAGTCTATGCGTCTATAAAGCAGGGGGCAAGGTACAAGCGCGTGGGGGAGTTTGAAGAGGGACTGGGCTCTGGAATTGTTGTCTTGGGTCCCTCTCTAACCTCAACAGCCTCCAGCTGCGATAGCTCAAGCAGAGATGAAAGTGGCATGTAAGTGTGAGCGTGTGTGCGTGAGAATGGCGTGTTGGTGTGTGAAAGCTCTGGGTGGCAGGGACATTTCTGGCTATGTATGTACAGCACCTGGCACAGTAGGGCCCTGATCAGGGCCTGCGTGGGTTAATGAGATCATAAGAGGAAGTGCCTCATTTTCCACTGCTTGTGTCATCGGTGCAGAGTAGGAAGTGGATGCTAAGAACGACTGGCTGGACATTTTTTCTGAAAAATTTTCATTGGTAGATGCCATGTCAATTAAACTGATTTTGTGTGTGTGCAAAACTATCACTTTCGATGCAATTTCATTTAAAAATGGAAAAAAGCTGTTCTGAGAAAATATCAAGATGATATTTTTGGAAGACAAAGTTTTGAATTTTCATTTCGAAATTTACTCTGAGGTTTGACAAATTTTTAAATGTTAAAAAAGGTCAAAATCCAAATGAAATCTTTCGAACTCATCGAAACAAAATGTTTCGATTGCAGCCAGGCTGACCTTTTCTGCAGAATATTGTTTCACAGAAGTGTTTAAAGCGGCGGCTTTTCATCCCAATGTCAAAGCTCACATTTTTTTTGCAAGACAGAAAAGCCATTTTCGGACCAGTTCTAATGCTAAGCTGACCTGGTGGTGCGTGACGCCCACGCTACACAGCCTCACGCCCTCCTATGGCGGTTGTGTGTGCGTGTGGGTCAGTGCGTGGTGTGAACGCACCTGGAGTGTGTATCAGGCAGCCAGAACTCGCTCAGTCACGCGTAAACCAACAGAAGGGCTGGGCTCATGTTCCATGCAAAGACCAGAGGCAGCTGCTACATTCCCTTAATGGTAACACTAGGAATACGGTATGAGCAGAGAAGGGGGAAGCTGCATGGTTCTATCTGAAACCCCCACAAACCCAGGCAGATGAGGGCTGTCTAGCTAACACTCACCCACTGTGCAGTATAACTCCCCCCCCCCCCAAACACACACACACACACTCCCTTACGCAACTGTGCTCTCCACTGGCCTACCCATCCCAGGGGACTCACAGACCCAGTGGGCCAGCCTGAGGATTCATTTCCTGGAGTCCTTGTGAGACGGGCGGATGAATTTGAGCAGGTGGGAAGCGCTGGCAGCACACAGATTCCCTCTGCGAATCAGAGAAGGCGTTTCCCATTTAAGGAGCCAGGAGGACCAGTGGGAAGGGTAAGCGGCTAGGATGCAAGTGGCTAGCAGTGAGACACGTATGGCCCAGCTTGCTGGGCCCGGCTGCTAAGAAAAACTCGTTTGTACATTTGTATCTCTAATGCCCATCTCTGAACGCCGTGGGCAACTCCCCCGGTAGGAAGGGGCTAACGACTCCTGCTGTTCCCTGTGGGGTTGGGGGAATCTAGGCACTGCCATACAGGATCAGAGCAGTATCCACTCACTGACAGCTGCTTCAGAGGCAGGTGCGTGAATCTCTGCAGTGGGCAGTTCTGGGATGACTTGCCCTAGGGGAAAGGTGCCTCTTAGCTTCTGTTAGACAGCAGTTGGCTTAAGCCCTGAAGTATT